GTCGTATTTAAGTAGTTAAATATGCCTGCGATATAGATTATATCAAATAAACAATTCAGCCAAAATTATGATTTTTTATTAGAAAATGTAACACGATTAGCTAGTTACCTATCTAAATCCACAACTACATTACACATTACTACATACATTTAATATACTGAATATTACTTTTTTTTTATATTTATTCGTAAAGTGTAAATCAAATACGTATTATTAATTCTTAGTCTAAATATATTAAATACTACTTATAAATATATAAATAGTTACTGCAGAGATGTAAAATTTACATGCAAACAGTATATAGCTATGGATTACTTAAATAAACAATTATCTCAAATGCATAAATTGTGAAAAACGCATGTGTTTAGATATGCCGTTGCCGGTGAGCTTTTGATGATATGCGATGTTTATTTTCATGATTACAATAGGATAAGGACGGAATGATTTTTAAAAACAAACTTTGCCTAATTGGATAAACATTGGATATAATATAACATCATCATCATCATCATCATCATATCAGCCATTAACTGTTCATTGTTGAATATAGGTCTACACTTTATTATAGAAAATAAATTGCAAATATTATAAATAAATGGTAACATCCATCATTTCACATACACACATACTAACTGTCCACTACTGAACGTAAGCCTCCACCATATAATATGTAGATGACATAAATACTTATATATTTCCAATCCTTCCTAATCAGTACATATTTATATATGAAATTCCTAAATTGCTAATTATTACATATTTATATATATTGTACTACATATGTATCTATAAACACATTGTCTAATGATCAAGACTGTTTTAAAAAAATCTTAGACATTATAAGCAATGTCTAAAATTGTTTCAAAACATTTGTATAAACAGTTCAATCTTAATACTAATTTGTTAGTGATGACCACGTATAGACAAATGCAATGTAGGTCAATTCTCCACAAGATTGAGTGTTCAAATTTTTAAGGAGTTAGTGGCCCTTAAATTATTTTTAAAGCCAATGTAAGTAAGTCTATGTACATTAAACACTTAAAATGATAAACGAAAAATATTATTATTTGAATTAAGAAACGTATGCGAAACTGTTTTACAATATTCATAAAGACTATTATTGTAATAAAACACTGTCCCAGTCATACATTGTATTCACAACCTGTAGGAATGCAATGAACAGTAAGTGTTAATTAAGAGTCATAACTTTTAAAGCGCTGTGAAATTTTTATTTTTATTATGACTCAGTAAGCCTTCTGTTGGCCTCTGATGAGATAAATTTTAACCGACTCCCAAATAAAGTAGATACTCAATTCATTTGTATTTCTTTTTATTGCTATCTTGTGATTACGTTGCCAATTTGAAAAGATTTTGACATATTAGTCCTCATGAATGGCAAAACGTGAGGATACTGAGAGCGCGGTAGTGGATTGTAATATAAGTGATGGATTAACACTTTCCATTTGGTTGGTCATCAGCTAGTTTACTAATTCAAATTGTATAAAAGCTATTCCGTTTACAATAGTGCTTATTCTCGTGTTAGTTTTGTAGTTACCGAAATTATAATTTTTTTTGGGGAGCAAATATTTGCATATTACTAAACGAAATGTATGATCCTGCGTTCACATATTTTCAATCATTGAAATATCTCATCTTTCATCGGTGTATGTGTATGTGTTTGCGATTCTAAATACTGTTTTACTTTTTATTTTTTTGTAGAGCATAATATACTTTTTGTATGTCTCTGTAACACTCTCATTGTCCATTGATAATTTTAACTTGTGAGAAAAGCCGCAACTATCATATACAGTGGAGGATAGCTTAATTCAATTGTCTTGCTCGAAAGGATGAATGAAATTTTATATGACATAGTAATTGGGTAAATGTAATTTAAGATTGTTCCAGATAAGAAAAAAAAAATAGCTACTTGATTCTTAAAAAAATTAATAGTACGCACACAGAAATCTATCTAATTAAAAATAATTTTCATAAATATATTTTGTTTCAAAAAAATAGTAGAAGAGAGCAAAAAAAAAAAATAGCAAGGTATTTTGCCAACAAATAGGATTTACAATACTTAAATTTAGAACGCGGAATCGCAAGTCTAGAAGTAGATTTTCTTTTGAGAGTTTTTTTATTCCGTATAGAAAAACTGCATCTCCTATATTCGTTAAATTAATGAAACTACTACATGAAAAGAAATTAGAGATTTAAAAAAATTGTGAATATCGATCCGTAATTGGCGATATAGTTGTGTAAAGCGACTACAAAAAATCATTTAAGTTGAGAACCATCTTTCGGAAATCGGTTAAATACCTTTAAAACTGTTGATGATACAACATAATTTACTCGTATATAAAAATAATACTTAATGTCGCTTAAAATTACATAAAATTGAATTAAAATATATCGAGGATGGGACAGCCACTGACCTCTGACACCCTTATCCATCGTGACATGAAGCTCTATAAATAATATTGTTACCTCATATTTTATTATCATGGAGAGGTCTTAACTTTAGCAACTTCTTACATTCTCATGTTCTTACATTTTCGACATAGGTACATGTCTATTACACTACCTAACAAATAATATAAATTAATGTAAATTTATTTATTTATATTTATTAGCATGCTACAAATTAGTTATTATAGTAAGTAAGCACATAAGACACGTGACACCCCGTAGGGGCACCGCAATTTAGAAAAAGAACCATCCACTTTTGAACACAGTTAAAACCATATTATGTGTCATATGGTGTATTTATCTATTTTGTAAGTTTTTTTTTTTTTTTCTATTAATTTTAATATAATTAATTTTTAAAGATTGGGTAGTATATTTATTAGTATCTTCGAATATTTGTTATTAAATTGCGTATAAACACCTGATTTAATTAAAATTTGGTACGCAGATAAACAATTTCAATATAATATAGGTAGTTAAAATCTACTAGTTATATTCTGCGGTTATTTTCGCATGAATTACAATATCTCTAGTCTATTAACCTAGGTCGTTCTTTCTGTACAGGAAATTTCATTCGTATCTATTGAGATGTTTAAACATGATTAAGTAACAAATATGTATATTATTACAAGTAGTAAGTTATTACTGTATGTTAATGAATAAGTTTGTTTTTCCTCATACACATCAGCATGTGGTATCAAAAACGTATCTATCGACAGGTTTGGTTCCCCGCTTTGACAAAATTGATATATCTCCATCTTAGAAGTAAATTATATCAATTGAATAAAAAATAACGCGCAACAAATACACATAAAAAAAATTGTGTTACTTCAAAGTCATAAGGACATATTTGACCGGTTAAAACATAATGACTTAACCTAGTTTCCACTGTTTTTTGCACTCGAACGTATTTTTAACCGGTTAAGAGTCTTGACTATGACACTTATAGGCATATTTGTTTTACAATTTAAATAATAGACACCTATATAAGTTCACAATTTTATTTGATAAAGAAACATTTGTTTATCTCTACAGAGAGATTATGGGAGCATAAATAATATTTACGACCAAATGATGGTTATATTTCGATCCGTTAGTATTAAAGCTATTAAATAAATCATAAAGACAATATCTTATGGTTGCAGTTGACAGCACCGGATCTATTTAGTAGTGCTCACGTATTTCACTTAACTACCTACATGAGTAACAGGAATATTTAGTTTATAATCTTGCTGTTACACGCGACTTTGCTCGCATTGAAGTAAAAATGGCCAAGATGTTATGACACTGTACCTTGTAATTTTGCTGTAAACACGAGTAAAACAGAGGTTCCTAAACAAATTATTGTTGTATCAAATATTAATTTATAGTTTGGCAAAGAATAAGAAATTAGTTACAATTATATTTACTTCGTGAAATAAAATATTTCTTTTTTGTTACTCTATTGTCTACTTATAGCATGATGCAATAGACGAATATACATAAATATAATAAATAATATTCTCTGTCAACCGACCTTTTTTTTTACAACACATGGCGAGCATGCGGCTCACCTAATGGTAAGTGACTACCGCCGCCCATGATCACCCACAACACCAATGGCATTGCAGGTGTGCTGCCGGTATTTAAAAAAGGAATATGCTCTTTCCTTGAAAGTTATGTTATTGATTTACTCTAGTCATTTAACATACACAAGTACATACCGTTACTTTTATCTTCTGCAAGCTAAAGGCTACATAGATATTTTTTTCCAAACCTAAATAAAGACCTCAGTTTAAAAAAAATATAGTACGCAAAAGCATATCAAAATTGTTTACTTTCGATCGTTTGTCGTTCATGGTTTGGAGGAAAAAAAAACAATAGGTGCCTATATTCTTCATTTTTTTTTTAATAAATTGAAATTATATTTATGTGGTTTACTTTTTTCTGAATAGGTAATGTTTAAGTTTTTGATGCAAACTGAAGTAATTAAGCCATCCTATACTTCATAACATCTACAATTGTTGTAATACTTAATAATATATGCAAATATAAACGCAATTACCTAATGCGGACAGTTTTACGCGAATCAGAATCGCATAAGCATTCAGGAATTCAGCCAAACACCTGAACTCGTGACCAATTTAGATAAGTTTTTTTCTTAAATTAGCCCCAGCGACGATCTGAGTAGGTATTTTCAATAACGAAAGGGTTTATAAGCACATAAATCCGTTCGTTATTATTATTATCATTATTTTTGTTATTATAAGTAATAACTTATCTATAGAGTTAAATCAAAATTATTTGCATCCTTATAAGAGAGTTATTAAAGAAGCTAAATATTTTTATTAAAAGAAACAACAAGGATCACAAAACTACAAAACTATTTTAACCTTCAAAATAAGGCGTTCAGCTGGCAAGTTAATTAATGTTTAATCCCCATAGATATTTAGTAATAACTAAATATATTTAGGTATTATGTAATTTTATAAGAAATCAACTTTAAATACTCTACTGTAACAGACAATGCTTGAGTCGATAGATAATGAAGTACTTACAATTTAAATATGATGAACAATAAAGTCCGTTGAAGTATCATGATGTTATGAAGATGTGAAATTTCCCACACGTGTATATACGATTCAGAAAAAAAAATCACTTATGAAAAAAGCATCCAAAGTAGAAAGCACACTAAGTCACGCCACAGAATTAGCACTGGATTAGCAAATCAGTTGATTGAATTTTTAAAAACAGTTCCAAATCTAATATCTTTTTGTGAGCTCATTTTTCTAACATCACGTCACGCCATCGTAGTTCATTTTCCCAGCGAACTGCTCAAAAACAGCCGAAGATCTGCAAAGAAAAGAAACGAGCAAATTATTCACATCGGAAGCTTAATGTAAAAATAACGAGGATACTAAACGTTCTCTATAATTATTACAGGACAGGCATGGAGCCGGAGGCGAAGTACAATATTGTAATATCTAACCATCAGAGACGTTGTATGCACGCCTATAAAAATAAATTATTATTGTAGCGACTAAGCTATGTTTATTGCTAATTTCACCATTATATCCACGCTAACCAGAAAATAAAAAGTGTGATGCAAAATGTTACAATGTACTTATAGGTACGCATTTGAAATTCATCACAGCAAAACATCGCATCACAGGTACATCGAAGGAAATTTTAAAATAATTTGAACTAAAATGTGAATTCCGAGCTTCTTAGTAGCTTTTTTTTCGTTACCTTTGACGAAATTAAAAATATTTACGGTTTGGTTATGGATTGTGTAAATATTAATAAATTTATCTGTGATCGTTTGTTTGTTTGTAACAGTAAAGTCTTTCATCCAACTCTAAACTTCAGGAGTAAACGAATTGTTAGAAATGAGGTCAAATAGCTCTATTGCCAGCAATATGTCCTATTAAATAGACTTCCAAGCGGATCCTTTTCAAAACTATCTTGGTTAATTCTAATCGAAGTCGTTATGATGGGCCAATTAACCTGCATTCATCCTCACCTATCACTGGTGCCCCGCCAAAATATATTGATTTTCATCCATAAAATACTCTGAAATCCATTATCAACATCATTTCAACTATTATTTGTCCACTGTTGAACATAGACCTATAGAGGAGCCACAGACTGCCATAAGGAAAGGTCCTGAGCCACCTACATCCACTGAATCCCGGCAATGCATTTGAGGTCGTCACTCCATCTAGAATTCATATTCAATAACAATCATTAGCCAAATTCCAACATAATAACCCGCGTATATTATACGTCTTAGCCCGGAACATCGAAATCTTGTAATACGTGAGCGCGTGTTGAACGATCTGATTTAAAAATAGAAAAAAAATCTCGACAACCGCCAATGATCGATCAATTTCTGACGTAAAACAAATAACTCAGCCTATAAATCGTGCCTCTATCCAATTGAAGTGCACGGTTTCCCACACAATCTATGGAGGGTATTTACTAACTTACATTATAAATTTAATATTAATAAACTTAAAAGAAAAAGATTCAATGAACAGAACCCGATACCGATTTAAATAATCGGTAAATCGTTGCAGCTCTGCCGAATTAATGTATTATTATTTAGTGAAGATTTACAGATGGAATCTCTAGTTTGAACGCGGCAGTGTAACCATTATTGTTACATAAATATGTTCTCACATTGCAATGTTGCATGTTAATGCATACACTGATGTAGTAATACTTTTTTTTGAGCTGTAACAATATATGCCAATCTCTAAACTCTTACCCATAACAATTAATAGGTAATTAAATATCCTCAGTTTCGATTTTTAAAACTAGTACGTAGTAATTTTTCTTGTTGTAATATAGGATCCTGTATTAAAAGTTCTGAACATCCAGATCTAGTTCGTGTTGTTAGTCGAAGTTTACATTAAATAATAGGGATCCGGCTTGGCTTTGCATGGATAGATAGAATTTTCTATAATAATTTATAGCTTATATTATTCGCTGATAATGTAGCTTTCCATAGATGAAAAAATTTTGAAGATAGGTTGAGTAGTTTTGAGTTTATCCATTACAAATAATTAAACCTTTTTTTTTGTAATATTATTACGAGTAGTATAGACATATAAAAGTACATTAAATACCGTAAAATTATATGATACGCGACTTCTTCACCAATGGTAAACGATTTTGATAAATTACTTTTACGACCCTTTGTTAGTTTTCATACAAATTTAGTCACCAATGCTGTAGTTGATTTTTTTCGCGGAAAATTCACATAGTATCTTCTGAACCTAACAATAATTTTTCTAACACCCATTAAAATAAAGCCCGTTATAGTTCGAGTAATACTCATTTCAATTTTGTAAATAGCAAATTGGACACATTGTCAAAACAAAAAATGAAACGATAACGATTGAGAAGTAGAAAAAAAATATTGCAAAAACTGCCAGCAATTATGTATTATTCTATTTGTTAATAAAAAAGTGCTATGATAAATGAATGGTTGGATAATGAAAATCAAAACATAGATCGTTGGCGTGATTCACTGAGCGTATTCACTAGTACGTGATCTTTTGATCGCACAATAGAAGTAGATACTAACTCGTTACCTACTCTGCATAGTAGCAACTGGCAGTAAAAACATTATTAATAGTCGGATACTCACTTCGCTTCTTTTAGTCACTTCCTAATTTGAATATTGAATAATTGTCCTATATGATAATGTTTCAGTATAAATAGGTACTGAATTAAATATTGCACTTACATTAATTCTGAATATTACTTAATAGGGAAGAGAAAGTGTGTGAGAACAATAGGACAAATTGACCTGATTGGAAACTATCGTGGTTAATTCCTAATAAATTCTTCACAAATTATTTAACTTTATTTTCATTTATATAGAAGGTAACGTAAACAATAACACAGAAGGGATTCATAAATATTAATGATTTAATGCAGAGGTGCTTACCTATCCGATATTATATAAACATATATATAATGAGTTCATTAATTCATATTCAGGTAATTATATTACAAAATAATTATAGTTCAGCATAAGGAATTCTTATGGATTTAAATTTATCAATTTTTTATTTATTATTATTATATAAAACGACTTAATATTAATAATACTGTTGACGCCATTAGTTGTAACATTGTAACATGTTGTAGGTTAATTTACTCGTAATTTTATATTGTTAAATCGAATTGCATCTATTCTGTACCATAACATAGCCAGTGTACTGAATTACAGCCAGAAATTGCGCGTATCTATAAAGTAATGAACTAAATTCCAGTTTCCAGTAAACAGCGTTGCCAGATGTGATTTTTCAGTTCTACCCAAACTTCAAATATTCTTTCACCAAATTGATACGATATCTTTCACGTTTACCCAATCACAAACATGTGTCCGTTTTCACTAGGGATAGGTAATATGTAGCAATATTTATATATTTTAGTTACAATATCTATATATTGACACAACAACAAATATGTTAAAAGTCTGTTATCCAAAAAATAATATTGGATAACAGATTTTGAACATATTCGAAAGTAGATATGCGACCGATATGGGCGATATCAAAATGTGTGATAACCTTTTTTCGCCATCAATGCCCAGAGGAAACCAATATATAGATATCGAATCGGTATCCATATTATCCATGCCTAGTTTTCACTACATTTTACTATTAACCATTAAACAAACGACGAACAAAACATCGTTCTTCACGATGGCCCCTATTTTTCATATTAATACATTTACAGACTAGTACATCCATAGGGTTTATAAATACTAAAGCTATAAAAATACCTTCATTTCTCCACACCCATTCTATTTTTCTCAATCAATTTTATTTCTCTAAAACTTCGCCGACACTAAAATTATTACCTCAAATTCCGAAAAAATATTCAATCTGGCAACACTGTCAATAAATCGCGATCATCAGCCACTGGTCATCGTACTCTCGGACACGAGCCAGACGGCTCGCTTTGACAGGTGAGACAGCGTCAACTTAACGCCAGTCCGAACATTCTATTTTTGTCTTCCGTGAATACTTTCCACCAACATACATAGATGGCTCCGTTTTCTGGGTGGTCACTACTCACTACCCATTTGCATTTCTCGTCTTACGTATGGTTACTATTTATATGGGAATTTAAAAAGGAGTATTTCCGTTCGTTTTTTGTGTGAGTGACTTTGGTGATTACTTTTGTAAAAAATAAGATTTACTATCGTATTGGTGTATCATATTAATTTGTCAACATTTTATTTCTAGTGTCAGTGCATAGATAAAAAGGTCCTTGAGAGAAAATTTTCTAAATAATAACCCTCAAAGTTACCTCAGTTTAAAATAAAATAAAACGATTAATAACTTCGTTAACTGCGTCAGGGGTGTTCTTCTCTATATACGGCGTACCCGTATGCAATGTCCACAACTTCAGTGTCCCCCCCTTTCCTTTCCCACATAAATCCCTTATTCCTCTCGTTTACAAATTTTCTTTACGCATTTCCAACGTTCTCTTCCTTATTTCCTGAATCCTTTCCTCCATATCGTAGGTGACGAAAACCACCAACAAATGCATTCTCAAAGAGGGTTGACGTCAGGCAGGCGGCCGGTCGAAAACTATAGGCCAAATCTTTTTATATTATGGATAAAACCATATTACACCGACCCCAAATAATAATTGGGATAAGGGTAAGAAGATGATGAATAAATTAATAATTTACGAGGTTAAAATAAAATAAAAAATAAATTTTAAATACAGAGAAGTGGCAACCCTATCTTGTCGTCGTGCGAAATCATCTACATATGGATAAGAGCGTTCTATTTAACTGTATCAAACCAAGGTCCGAGTATCATTTTCTATAATTTATATTCTCCTGTAGAATTTTAATGTACCGTGACATGTTTTGTTTCTTACCATCGTTTGATGGGTTTTCCTTAAAAGTTTTAACATAAAACCTTGTCCACCTACGCACAAAATATAATTTTATTAAAAATATAACATTTATGTTACTACATTTCTTAGATTCTCTAAACTAGTTTAGCTTTGTTAAAACAAATCAACATCATCATCATCAATATCATTATAATCATCAATATTTGTTTTATAGTAAGTGGTAATTGGGTTGTATGTTTAACGCGATAGTGCAGTGCTTTTGTAACAATCAACAGTGATCAAATATAGTGATAATCTAGTTTAAAGTTTCAACACCTTATTATTATATATACCTACACTGATCGTCCAGAAACTTTCTATCTATACATCTAGTAGTAATTAGATTTATTTAAATAATGAATATAGTCGACAAGAGCACATTTCACTGCCGTAACCTCAAGGCGCTATAACAAATCAATAAT